CTTGCTTATTAGGGGAAAATGGAATGTTTGGATAATCCAGCCAAAATCAAGGATTGTTTAATCCCATCAATTTCAATTTAGACAGAATGAGGTTCTATAATTAACTCTTCTCAGTGATTTCAGTTGGAACAAGACAGGGGGCAATTCTATATATACTGCAAAGACCAAGACTTATTATATTAATCTTGAGGTTTTTGAAGTGCTTACTTTGATTAGATTCTGGACTGTGCACTTCGTTATTACTCTTAATCTAATATTTATTACTTTACTATATCTTGTCAAATTAGGGAATTGGAACTTCCTTGAGTAGTTAATGAGTTCAGTATGGAGTTGGTTGCATTAGAGAATATGCGACTTCTAGTTAACATGACAAATGTTAACCTATGAATCAGTTTTCTGTTTGCAATTCAAAAATAATTACTATTGAGTGGACAGATACTCCCAGGTGTAAAATGCTTGAGAATAAATAGACTCAGCTCCCCTTTGTGAGGCTGGTCACCATATTTATTCCCAGTATATGGACAAACTTGGCAGGCATGCAAAAGAACTATTTCTATGAATTAAGTTATTTTTTTCCCTGTTTGCAGGAAATGAGCAACTTTTTCAATTTCCTAAGGGGAAAGCAACAGATTCTACATGTAGGCCACTGGAGGAAGCAATTTCACTCAGGTATTTCTACAGTTTTAAATTTCTCAATCTTATTTCTTATGTAACATTTTCTGACTAATTCTTTCCTTCCAAGACCAATTGTAGAGCATAAATTGTGAGTCATAGTTTTAACATTCATGGCCAAAAAGAATATTGGGCTCCACAGAAAAGATGGACTTTAAATCAGCAAAAAGGAATTAATTCAGCTTTCCAAAGCTGATAGCCTCATGAAAGGCTGGGGCAGCAGTTCCCAGAATTCCCTATTGGTGCTGTAGAAGAGAATTCTGGGAGTGGTATTCTCAACATACAGGTAGCCCTCATTTAGTGACTGGTCCACTTGGCAGCCATTCACAATTACAGGGGGAATGAAAAAGTAACTTTATGAAGGATCCTTGCATTTATGACCTTTGTAGGTCTGTAAAGCAAAGGAAAGCTGAGGTTAGACCCTAAGCACTTCTGCCTAGCCACCACTTTGCTTAACGACCTAATTGCTGGTCCTACTTGTCATTGCTAAATGGGGGCTATCTGTACCTGGGTTTAAAACTCACTTGGATGAGTTTTATGACAGGATCAACCAAGATTTTACCTGTTTCAGATAAAAGACAGAAAGGCTATTTCTTCCTCCCTTGCAGAGATAGAAATGGAATATTCATATTATTCTTCATTATTGATCATGAGAGAGAGAGAGACAGACAGACAGACAGACAGACAGACAGACAGACAGACAGATAGACAGACAGAAGGTAAGTGAATGAATGGCTGGATGGATGGAGAGATGGAGAGATAGAGTTAGAAGATAGAGAGAAGATAGAGAGATAGACAAAGATGGTATGTAAGTAGATGGATGGATGGATGGAGAGGTAGAAGATAGAGAGATAGAGATGGTAGGTAATAGATGGATGGATAGATAAATAGATGGATGGATGGATGGATGGATGGAGAGATAAAGAGATGAAAGAGAGAGAGAGAGATAGAAGGTAGAGAGATAGAAGATAGACAGATAGACAAATAGATGGTAGATAAATAGATGGATGGATGGATGGATGGATAGATGGATAGAGACAGAGAGATAAGATAGAAGATAGGAGAGAGAGAGAGAAATAGAAATAGGATGTCTTAGTCCAATTTATTATTACGTGCATTATAGCATACTTTTAAGATAAGAAATAACTAAATCATAAAAACACCAGTGCCACCTTCACACTTGAAGCAGCAGCCTCCCTTAGAAAGTGCAGTCAGATTGTATGATAGATACAATTCTGCCCTCTAATGCTTGGTTCCCTTCCCCATCATGCACGTCTGCAGAGCCCAGATTGGGAGCGTTAATGAGAAGGACCAACCAGATGGTTCCTAGATGCTCTCAAGGAAGGACATGTAGGCAGCAACCCTCTGGCATAATTGTTTCAGTAGATCTCGTAAATTGCAAGCACGTTGCTCTTAACATAGTTATTCTCTTACAGAGGTGTTTTGACAAGGACATCTCTGTTCTCACCAAAATTCAAGCACCTGGAGTTGGGGGAAAAAAATCTCTTGGAAACATCTTTTATGTTTCCTATTTATAGGAATTCAGATCATATCCAGATTTAACTTGGTTAATGTCATTGCCTTTCCACAGGAAATTCTGAAAACAACTGTTTTCAAAAAAAAAAGGAAGCCGTCTGCAACACAGATTTTTATATTAAGAATCATTGTTGTTATGTGATTTTTGCATTGATTTATTGAGGGCATTCACTGTCTTTCTCTTCATATAAATGAGCAAACATTGCATAATATTGTAAAGTTATAGTGCAGCCTTGAAACAAAATTAAAACTTATTGCCTTGAAGCAATCTTTGTCTTTGTGTACAGAATTAGATTCTGGGCCAGTGGAAATTCTCCATATTCACTGAGGCAGAATATTCTAAATCAAGAGTCTCCAAACTTGGCAGCTTTAAGACTTATGGACTTCAACTCCCAGAATTCTCCAGCAAAGTCTAAAAGCTGCCGAGTTTGAGGACCCCTGTTGTAAATGAACACCGACTTGGTTCTGACAAACTTTTGCTAGGCATAAACATCTCCTCTCCACCAGGTATAGGGACCTGGTGAAAAAAAACAGTTGCTTGTGCAGATCTGTGTGGAAAAATGTGGTCCTTATGATGCCAAGATATAAACCACATGGGGTTTTTAAGATTAAAACCAGGCCTTTAACTGAGCCTAGAAACAAGCCAAGAGCAACAACATTTTTTTTTGTAAAAAAACTAGTGAGATGTGTTCCATTTGAATGATTCCAACCAATAAAGTATTAACTTCATTTCAGGACAAATTGCATTGCAAATACTCTTCAAAGGCATCCTTACAGCAAGTCCAAGCAAAATGTTTTAGAGCGATCGGATCTAGACTGCAAAAATCCGCATAGCCACAAAGTGGCATCAGAGATTCCAGTTATCTGTACGTATATCTTTGCTGCCATTAGTTGTCCTTTGGCTTTTTGCAGCTCAAATCTGGTAGCCCAAAGTATTAAATAGACCAGGGGTCTCCAACCTTGGGAACTTTAAGACTTGTGGACTTTAACTCCCAGAATTCCCAGAACTGTGGGAGTTGAAGTCCACAAGTCTTTTTTTTTTTTAATTTGATTTATATGCCGCCCTTCTCCAGAGACTCAGGGTGGCTTACAATGCGTTAAGCAATCGCCTTCATACTTTTGTATATTTTTATACAAAGTCAGCTTATTGCCCCCACAAACTGGGTCCTCAATTTACCTACCTTAGAAAGGATGGAAGGCTGAGTCAACCTTGAGCCTGGTGAGGTTCGAACTTACAGTAATTGCAGACAGCTGGTGTTAATCACAATGCTATCAGTCTGCTGAGCCACCAGGCCCTTAAAGTCTTAAAGTTGTCAAGCTTGGAGACCCCTGAAATAGAGTACAAATGGTACTCAGGCTTTCTCTGTTCAGGAGGAGCTGAAGCATAACCTGATATCCTGAATGGGGCTTCATGTTGCAAAAACCATGTTAGCCTTCAAAGCCATGGCCAGATTAAAACACCTGTTCAGGCCCCAAAAAACCAAATTCCTTGGGAATACAGCTCAAGTGCACCGACATTCAGGCCTGCAACGGAAGGAAATGGCCAAGCAGCTTCTTCCAACTGCTCAGCTAGGTTGACATGGCACAATCATTTCATAAATAAATAAATGACCTTCTGAACTGCAGACTAGCCCAACATAGCCGCCTTGAGTCTTCGGAGAAAGGTGGCATACAAGTTGAACAAATAAATAAATAGTGTTGTGTGAATTTGATGGAATGGTTAGTTTGCAGTTCAGTGCTTTGTATGAACCTAAGCAATGGAATTAATAAGTCCATAAAGATAGCCCATCTGGGAAGATCTCCTTTTAAAAATATCCTTCCTAAAAGAAGAAAGCTATTGTAGCAAATCAAAGGAACAAGATGAGAACTTCTTGCCCTAATATAGTTGTTTTCTACTTGAAGAAAGTTTTAGACAAGGTAACATTCAAATCCGTCACACATCATGCTTTTTGTCTTCTTGATAGTAGTTGCTTTTTGGTGGGGTGGGAGTAGGGGGACAGATGGCTATTTGAGGTTTGCTTGCAAGTGGGTGGATTTGTTTCTTTCCCATTCCGCAGGAGACAAGGTTAGCTCTGCCAAAGCCAGGTAACCCTAATTGCAACCTCAGTATATCCTAAAGTCATGTTATGGTCTACCGTTCTTCTCTTAAGCTGAATGCTCCCTTTCTTCGCTTTGCTGGGTACTTCTGTAGGTAGAATTTTTTTTCTTAAAATTCAGCCCATCAACCAAAACCTGTCCCCTTTCAAGGGATGCCAAGTTGAGGAAGCACACGTTCCTTGTCAAACAAACACTAAGGAGCAGTAAAATGGCTGGATGAAGAGGTTGTATTTCCTCAGGAATCCTAGATCTCTCTCCTTTTCTTACTTAGCTATTGCTGTGTTTATTTCTTTCCCTGCAAGCATTTCAGGACCGGTTTCTTAATTAAGCACAGAAGAGCTTTTTTGAGAAAGAGCAGAGATGAAATCACAGTTTTCCACCTGATAGGAGGGGAAAAATGAGGTTACCTTCATTTACTTGTCCTTTTCAGAAAGCCCTGACAGTTCTCCTTTCATCTCCCTGCCTCTCAACTTTATTAATTGGGGCAAGTTAATCAATCTCTGGATAACAACAGCATAGGCTGTGGATCCTATGATCTGCACCAATGAGAGAGCAAGGAAAGCAAAAGAGAAAAAAACCCCAAAGAAGCATCAAAATAAACCAGAACAAAACGGGAAAGGAAGAATGAGGAGCAAGCAATCAGGACCTGCTCCTTACCCATCCTCTCTCTTGGTTCATGACCAAGAAACACTCACGTGAAGGTTGATCATTTCTCCTTCCGATCCCATCTTTAGTCTTCCCAGGTTTTCTCCTTAGTCCTCTTGAACCCACACAAGAGATCAAGTCTCGGTAGCCTTCTGGATTCTCCAGAGCATTTGCTGGGTGGGAGGGAAAGTGCAGTTCCTGGAACAAACCTGCTATTCATTTGCCTGAAGTCCAACTCTTGCCTTGGCTGCAGCATTGGAATGGGGGAGGAGGAGAGAGAGAGACTGGTGGTGGTGATGGAGGCAGTGGCATGCAAAGCCTTTATTGTGTCCAAGACGCTGAATGGTCCTCCTTGTTATTTACCCATGACTGCATGTCTCGGGAGCTTCTGGATCCAGCTGAGTCCTATGAAGTCACTGGAGGTTGCAATTCAGGGACACCTACAAATGTACCACTGGGTTCATGGCACAGATCAAGCCAGCTTTTGGCAGAAGAGGGGTTGCAGCTAGAGGGAGTTGGAGTGCAGATGGCACCAGGCTGGCCCTCTTGGTGTGTTTGTTATTCCAGGCAGCCACAAAAAAGACCAAGAGAAATCAATCACTAACAGCAAGGAATCACTTTCCAGCTCCAGATTCATAATATTGGGACCAGCTCTTACCCACTCAGCAGCAAATGATCCAGTGCCGGAGTTGATAGTTAGAACCAGCAGAGTTCACAGGTTGTCATCACAAAAGTAAAGATGGCAGCCACCATGGTGAGATTAAAGCTGCACCTGTTAAAAAAATAGATGGATCATTGAATCACCATTGTGGCTGTCATTTTGACTTCTTTTTACTACTCTCTGTGGATAATCCTGGTTGGAAACTTTTAGAAGCTGCTCCCTTCCCTGATGTTTCTTAAAATTATGTTTTCCACCCAAGAGGGACACCAAAGAATATAATCTCAAATACAAGGCTTCATACAGAAATGGTTCATTAGGGTTGGTTCTAGGGATCCAGAATCCCAAGGAGGAATATTGCATTCAGCCCTGCTGCCAAAAATTATTTCCCTGGCGACCTGCATGGAAAACTCTTACTGGTTGCATTTATGTTCCCCTAAGCCACAGAGTATTTAATAATAGCTTATTGAATAAACCATTATTGGCTAGGTTTGTAGAACACACTCTCAGTCACAAACCATGACGGAGCAATCAGATGAGTATTTCACATCTGTGATTTGGTATGTTCTCTCAATCCACTTCAGTGAATTAGGGGCTTTTTTCCCCTTTGGAATATCAGTTGTTACTTCTTTTCTGTATTGATAATTGGCGTCCCTTCAACATACAGAATTTCCAAGAGTAGTTTCCATTAAAACCAAACTATCTAAAGTGCACTGTCAAAATATCAGGTTCTAATGAGCAACAAATAATAATAATAAAATAAGCTATCAGATGATCCAAAACATAGCTGCAGAAATTCATTTAACTGTTCTTTATGTTGCTATATATCATCGTGTTTCCCCCAAAATAAGACCCTGTCTTATATTTATTTTGCCACCAAAAATGGCACCAGGTCTTATTTTCAGGGAGGAATGTTGACCCCCTCATGTCACTTGCATGTGTCACCCACGGCCTCCTTTTTGCTGTCAGAGGCCTTCAGGAATTTTTTTGGCTGGCAAGGCCACCAAGGCTTTCCTGAAGACATCTGCAATGGATAACACAGCTTCGGATCAATCCAGAGCTCTTTTATTGGCTACAGAGGCCTTCAGAAAAGCAGAAGAAATGGGCCAAGGTGTGCAAGGCCTAGCTGCAACTATCCGAAGGTAAGTAGTAGGGCAGCTCCACCCTTCCCATCCCCACCTTAGCTTAATTTTTACCCGTGCACCCTGGAGTGGGCGGGGTCTTAATTAGGGCTTATTTTGGGGGTAGGGCTTATATTGGGTGCACATGTAAAAATCAAGCTAGGACTTACTTTCTGAGTAGCTCGTATTTTCTTGGAAACACAGTAGGTATTATATTTAAAGACCCTTGTTGGGGCTTAGATGAGCTACTTTGAAGACATCATGTTTTTTCCAAGGGGAAGATGTAACTCCATGGGTGGTTTAATTTAGGCCTGAAAGCACAAGGTCACTGTTTCAGAGAAACTAAGGTAAAAATGCTAATATAGATTTTCTGAGAAGCTGTATAATAATCAGTATAAATGAGGTCAGAATTGAAATAATAAGTATGGCTAAATGACAAAATTATATGGGAAACTAATATATTTGCATAGATATTTGCAGAGTTATTCTAGGCTTCTGACCTCAAGCTGCAAATCCCATAAATTATCATTTATGATCATATTATTTGCATCTTCAGGAGCCAAAGAAATATTTGCCTGGCTATAAAGTTGAAAACAAAACCTTGGAACAAAAGTATTCTTGGTTTGAATTAGTTTGGTTGATTGAGATCATGTGGGTTTAATTTTAAGTTCATTACATTTCATAGTCTTTGGGTTTAAAGGCTCCCCCCCCCCAGAACTTTTAACTTTCACTTTTCCCAAAAGACATGCTTTTCAGCAGAAGTTTAAAAACACAAAATTGACAGAGCATCTGATGGAGTTTGCTGTAGCTCACAAAATCAAATTTGCCCAGTTCTGAGAAGTATTATTGTGAAAAAGAAAAAGAGATTAACCAAAGAATGTGTATTTTAAATAAAATGCAGGATGTGTATCTATTCAGAGTTTATATCTGTAAAGATATAAATCACAAGCACTCAAAGTGTTTTCCGCCCTATAATAAATGGTTGTCTCACATTGTCCTTCAAATATTTGAATAGTGTAATCATTCCAATTAGACCCCACCCTCCTCTTTTCATCCTTACTTCTCTAGGATAAATCTTCTCGTTGCTAATCATCATCAGTTTTCTTAAAGTACAAGCCTAAAATTGAATGTAGTATTTCCCATATAGTATAAAATACAGTGAGAACCAGTTTGGTGCTATGTTTAAGGCATCAGGCTAGAAACCAGGAGACTGTGACTTCTAGTCTTGCCATTGGCACAAAGCCAGCTGGATGACCTTCGGCCAGTTACTTTCTCTCAGCCCTAAGAAGAAGGCAATGGCAAACCACTTCTGAAAAACCTTGCCAAGAAAACTGCAGGGACTTATCCAGGAAGCCTCTGAGAATTGAATAGAAGGAAAAAAAATTAGAATATAGCAGCACCAAGCTGATCTTACCTGGCCTTCAATAAACTAAGCAATATTGGACCTAGTTAATAGTTGGATGGGACACCACCAGGAAATTTCTGGGCTTTCGATTAAAAAGTCCAGGAAACACTCTGGAAGCAGGCAACAGCAAACTGGGCTAAAACATACAGTATAAGGAATGGTTGCTCGAATTGGGTACGTCTAGTTTAATGAAAAGAAGGACTGGGGTGACATGTTAGCAGTGTTCCAATATCTCAGGGGTGGCCACAAAGAAGAGGCAGTCAAGCTATTCTCCAAAACACCTGAGGGCAGGACAAGAAGCAATGGGTGGAAACTAATCAAGGAGAGAAGCAACTTAGAACTAAGGAGAAATTTCCTGACAGATAGAACAATTAATCAGTGGAACAACTTGCCTCCAGAAGTTGTGAATGGTCCAACACTGGACGTTTTTAAGAAGAGGTTGGACAACCATTTGTCTGAAATGGTATAAAGTTTCCTGCCTAAGCAGGGGGTTGGACTAGAAGACCTCCAGGTCCCTTCCAACTCTTCTCTTCTCTTCCAACTCTTCCAACTCTTCTAATTATTTTTAGTGTGTTGCCAAGAAAACAACATTAATATATCCGTGAAGTTATCCATAGTCCTGCTCAAATCAAGTGAGCTTTTTGATTCCTGAAAATGTATGTATGCATGTTTTAAAATTTATTACAACTGCCCAGCTCCAACAGACTCTGACTTGTCCAGAATATAATAGAATTGTTATTCTCCTGACTTTGAAACTGTGCTTCTGCCTATTAATTTGGCCTATAATCATGTTAGATTTCTTTGCAGCCACATTACACAACTGTTTTATGTTCGGCTTCTGTAAGAGTCCTATTCTGGGTGATCACAGGCATCCCTGACTGGTTTTGACATCATGATAATAATTTTTCCAGCTGTTGCAGTCCTAGAAACCATTGCCATTCAATCTTGGATCACCTCATCATATTTGATGTTCAGGCAAATGCTTATCCAGAATCCAACAGTTGAGATATCTCAAATATCTTGTCTGCTTCTGGTTCTTTTTAAAGACGCTTTATGGTTGGTGTTTATTTTCTTTTAAAAGTTCTTCATGAAAATGATGGCACAAAGATTCCTTTAAGATGGAAGTAATCACTGGAAGGATAGGTCTGGATATTAGTAATGCTAGAGAAAAAAAAATACTTTGCACTACAAAATAACTTAGAAAGATGGAAGATGAGAAGAAAACCTTCCATAATGATCGCAGGAGAACCAGGGTTTGTATTGCTGAATCAGCAAATCATTGTTTGGAGTTTCCAAGAATAATCCATGAGAGTAGGAAAACATCCAAAAAGGCTGAATTCTGGAGAAATAGGGAGCCAGACAAAGTAGGCAAACACTTACCAGATCTGTTCATAATCACGACCACCTCAAAATCTGGAGTCAATAGATACATAAACAGATTTGTTGGATTGCAACTTTACAGGCATGGAGCAATGCCAACATTTTTGCAACTTATGCAGAAATGCAAAGCAGAAATTTCCCAGATTTCAGAACTAAAAAGAGGACAAATCTGTAGGGGCCCTTTTCTTCTGGCTAGAAATGGCACCAGTGACTTATATCTCCATGTTGGCTTCTTGTAATGAGGTTTCTCCCTATCAGCAGAGGTTTCATGGCCAAGATTCTTCTACATCCTCAGCTCTTAACAGAATAACAGAGTTGGAAGGAATCTTGGAGGTCTTCTAGTCCAACCCCCTGCTCAGGCAGGAAATTCTACACCATTTCAGACAAATGGCTGTCCAATCTCTTCTTAAAAGAGCCGAGATGGCGCAGCGGTTAGAGTGCAGTACTGGAGACTACTTTAGCTGACTGCTAGCTGCAGTTCAGCAGATCCAATCTCACCGGCTCAAGGTTGACTGAGCCTTCCATCCTTCCGAGGTGAGTAAAATGAGGACCCAGATTGTTGGGGGCAATATGCTGACTCTGTAAACTGCTTAGAGAGGGATGTAAAGCACTGTGAAGCGGTATATAAGTCTAAGTGCTATTGCTATTGCTAAAAGCCTTCAGTGTTGGAGCATTCACAACTTCTGGAGGCAAGTTGTTCCACTGATTAATTGTTCTAACTGTCAGGAAATTTCTCCTTAGTTCTAGGTTGGTTCTCTCCTTGATTAGTTTCCATCCATTGCTTCTTGTCCTGCTTTCAGG